AACAGTAATTCAGTCATCCAGGTTAGTAAATCAGGGTGAAACATCTCCTTTTTGCAAATATTTGTGAAAATATTTTGAGAAAAAATGTGCACACTTTAATAGCAACACAGATGTCGAATAAAACAGGTTTATAATAGAGCATTATTGTTCATAACAGCTGGGGAACAGTGATGAAATTTTCTTATAGTTATAACAGAATAAGTTTTTATCAAAGGAGCTTAAATCATTTGAATTGACCCCAGTAGCCCTACTCATGCGTACATGCAGGCCCCTGTCAACCATAAAATCATTATTCTCTGCAGGTTAAGACTGGCGTTTAGAAACATGAAGATATGACTCTCGGAGCGACCCATAAACAGTTGAATGTGCCTGGATTTACACAGCAACACAACCCTGGAAACATACAGTAATGCCATTATTAATTAATGGTTGCATCTGCTTAAATACATTCCCATATTAAGCGGATTTCCACTGATAGATCAAGGCTGATCTAATTCATAAACGTTTTCATGTCCTTTAGTGTTATGGTGTGCAATAATAAACAGTTACATTTATGTTTAGGCTATAAATTCCTTGAATGCAACGCAATAAAAATGGATTGTGATTTCAGCTTAGTTGAAGTGGAATAAGAACGTTGGAGGATGTGCGTAATGAAAAGCTCACCAAGGAAAAGCGCCAAACATTCCTTTTATAGCTCTCTCTCTTTTTTTCCAGCCAAAATACAATAAGATTAGTTTATAATGAAGCTTTTCATCAGAAACTGTTCTTTTCAGTCAGCGCAGGTGTACAATTGGGGTGGTGGGGGGGAGGGAGCTTGAGGAGTCTCACGCCTAGGTGCGAGGAGATTATTCAAATAGGGCCCAAGGCGTAGAAGTAGGGATTGGAGGCTTGCCTAGCGCACAGAGCTATATCACAGCGTTAACAGGCAGCACGGAGCGTCATTTGAACTCCAGTCACTGACAGACGCATTTCACGGCTGGCTCCATAAGACACACATGCGCCAGTCCTTGACGAAGGGACACACCGACGACCCAAATACACTCAGTGGTCCCCAGTCACCTGCTATTAGAGAGACTTTTGGCTTTTCCTCTGCTGGGAGACGCTTTGTAAAAGTCCTCCATGATGCTTGGAGCAGTTAAAATGGAAGGACACGAACACACCGATTGGAGCACCTACTACGGAGAGCCTGAGGTGGGTACCTTAAATATATATTTTTTTCCGTCTAAAGCCGATCCCATTTTATACAACTCAATATTAGCCCTGAGATAATATTAACTTTGTGATCAAATATTGACTTGAGGCGCCTCCAAATCCTCCCCCATCTACACGCAGCGCACTATCCTAACAAAGTTGCTTGACGTGTAGGGGGGAAACTTTTCCCTCGGATTATAATTTCATAACTCTATACGTATCTTTACTAAATCAGATTATTTTTTGTCATGTTTCCACTCAACAAACATCGGAGCTGTTTGGTTTTGGGGAGATTGATTCAAATATTTGTGTTGCTGTCGCTATTTTGTGTGTGAACACAGTCATATTAGGTGTCAGCATTCTCTGCGACATTGTACATTTTCAGCGGATTGTTTAACTTAATTTACTCTCCACACCAGAGGCATTAAATGCATTGTTAGTAATGCAGCTGTCCTTTTAATTTTAAAAGACTGTTTTACGCAGGAGCAAAAGCAAATGAACAGTTATCTTATTCATATTTTGAATTACGCAATGATTCTGATTTTATACGGCTTTAATAAAAACTGAGTTTAGTAATGACTGTTCTTTTTGATTCCTCGCTGTAATGCCAGATAAAACTGATGGTTGTCTCTGTTCCTCGTTCACAGTGTTACACCTCGGTTGGCAACATGAACACGGGCCTGGGAATGAACTCTATGAATACCTACATGAGCATGTCCGGCATGAACACTACTGCCAACATGACGGCCAACTCCATGAACATGTCATACGTCAACACGGGCATGAGTCCCTCCATGACCGGCATGTCACCGGGCACCGGAGCCATGAACGGCATGGGCGCAGGCATGACGGCCATGAGCGCAGCCCTGAGCCCCAGTATGAGTCCCATGACCGCGCAGCCCGCATCTATGAACGCCCTGACATCCTACACCAACATGAACGCCATGAGCCCAATTTACGGACAGTCTAACATTAACAGGTCCAGAGACCCTAAGACCTACCGCAGGAGCTACACTCACGCCAAACCCCCGTATTCCTACATTTCCCTCATCACCATGGCCATCCAACAGTCTCCCAGCAAGATGCTGACGCTGGCCGAGATCTACCAGTGGATAATGGACCTCTTCCCTTTTTACCGACAGAACCAGCAGCGCTGGCAGAACTCCATTCGCCACTCTTTGTCGTTCAATGACTGTTTCCTCAAAGTGCCCAGGTCGCCGGATAAACCCGGGAAAGGCTCCTTTTGGACTCTCCACCCGGACTCCGGGAACATGTTTGAGAATGGCTGCTACCTGAGGAGGCAGAAGCGCTTCAAGTGCGATAAGAAGACCATGAAGGATACCGGCCGCAAAGCGGGAGATGGCGGCTCCTCCAACAGCAGCTCGGAGAGCTGCAACGGCAACGAGTCCCCGCACTCCAACTCCTCCTCCGGCGACCACAAAAGGTCCCTGTCGGACATGAAGACGAGCCAGGCCCTGAGCCCGGAGCACGCTGCCCCCTCCCCGGTGTCGCAGGGGCAGCACCTCATGTCTCAGCATCACTCGGTCCTTGCGCACGAAGCGCACCTGAAGCCGGAGCACCACTACTCCTTCAACCACCCGTTCTCCATAAATAACCTCATGTCTTCGGAGCAGCAGCATCACAAAATGGACCTAAAGACTTACGAGCAGGTGATGCATTACTCTGGCTATGGCTCCCCCATGGCCGGGGCTCTTTCCATGGGCCCCATGGCGGGGAAACCCGGTCTGGATTCATCCATACCTGACACAACTTACTACCAAGGCGTCTATTCCAGGCCAATCATGAACTCATCATAAACTCTTTACCCCTCCATCCGAAGTGGACTTTCTTCAACCTTCAATTTGTACATTTGTAAAAAAAATATAGAGTTTGTGTACAATATGTATTTCAAATATTTTTGACGTTTCCCACCGTTTTAGTTGTCGAGTTTGTTAGTAGCCTAATTATTTTGAGAGAGGATGTTGATAATAATAATTAAAAGTAATGATAATGTGACGAGATCTGTTCAGAAGTCGGCTTCAGGAATGGACCCCAAAGACAAACAACAGCTTGCTGTAAAATAGCCTACATCTGCTTAACTGGATTCCTAAATAAATTTAATGCCTCGCAGGATTTCTTCAATCATTTGTGTAATTCCTATTTATGGCTTGTATATGTGTATTCTTGTAGTGACAAGAACAGAATCTATATTAAAGTGTTATTGGTTTTGTTTTCTGAATATGATGGTGTTTGATCGTTATTATTATTATTATTATTATCATGCTACAAAAACAGTCTAATAGAGGCAACAAGAGGTTTCACCATTCAATTGCTACTGGTGAGGGTGGACGGGAATTTATATAAATGAATTCAACAGAATATAACAACTGTAGGCAACATTTTTCACACTAAATAAAAAACATTAGTTTCAGGTAGTTCACACTAAATACGCATTAAATGCTAAAAACTAAAATTTGTAAAAAGGAAAGTACAGCTAAGGAAAATATTTATTTGATTTAGATCCAGTGTTATTTATGACATCCATGATAACATGAATGAATTAACTATTTGTGCATAAAATGAAGTTATATACATTTCTATAATAATTATAGATTTTTTAAAATTCTAAGAATGATTCTCATCCATGTGCCTTTATGATGAGGCGCATGTTTTCAGCAGGGATTAATAGCTTTGCTGGCCAATATTGTGCACAATGCTCTCAGTTTGTCAGTCAGAAAATGCAAACAAAACAAACACCCTTATTAATCCCAAACACAAATTGGAATATTAATGGAGGAAAAGAGTTTATCCAACACAGCCACACTAATATTTTGGGAGTGATGCAATGAAGTAGACGACCCTATAGAGGAGCGCAGAAGCATTTTATAAATTATACTATATTAAATAATATGCTGCAAATGAAAATGTGTGTTTTCTGCAGATATATACATCACGCAATCAATCAAATCATGCAGAATCTATAACGTGCCCACGATCTCATCTCCCTAACATTCATCTGCTGCAACCCTACGTGTGTATGAAAAGTTAGGCAAATAATAATGAATTAAATCAGCCATTTACATTCCCACACATACAGTGAGACACATTATGATTCAAACATATCTAACACTGTCACTCACTGTCACCCTCCCACACCAACACACACACACACACACACACACACACACACACACACACACACACACACACACACACACACACACACACACACAAGAGCAAAGTTTAGATCAGTGAATAAGATTAAGTGTCATTGTCACATAAAACAGCCTCCCGTGGCGCAGGAGAATAGTTGCTGGAATATAGGGCTGATTTGGGAACAGAGCCGCCTGAATGTGATGCTCTAACTTCTCTCCCCTCAATCTGGGGGTCCATTGTCTACTCCCTATTTTTAAAGTAGTTGGACCCTCCCCTCTTGTTAGATAAGATAGGCTAGTTGTCGTCCAAATGAATCACCCCCCCCCCCTGCCTTCCCTTCCCCTGCTGAGCTCAAATCCAAGGCCAGAGATGGAGTTTGGGGACATTTCTGCTCCCCTTATAACCAAATGACACCCCTTCGCCTTCTGAACACGTAGGGCCTAAAGTGTGCGTTTATTCTCCAGACCCTCTTTACAGATCGCACTTTAAACAGCGTGATCTGCGAATAAACAAAGCCAGTAAACAATAGAGTGGAGGCTATGCCCACATATAGGAAGAGTACACACACAAACCAAATTGCACAAGTGTAAACTTTGAATAGGACGCCGCAGCTCTGTAAATTTACACAGACATTAAATTTCGTTCTATTCATTTTAGACATATAATGCTAAGCTGATTTTTTTTATAGCACACTGATCGATATCTCTGTAAAATAATCATTTTTTTAACTAGCGGGGCAGTGAAATCTTTGCTTTGTGCTAAAGTCAACAGTGACAGAGTTTGAGCTCAAATAAATGCCGTGATGTCTGGAGCCCTTTGCAGAAGGCAGAAGGCGAGCTTCTACAATGGGCTCCTGTGTGGCTTGCCAACAACAAGCACGGGCTATTTTGCACAGGTATGAAGCTTTTATTTTCTATAACCTTCTCTTAAAAAAAGGGGAACAAAATCTTTATTCTGTACTAGTAGGGAAACGTGGTTTGATGGCCGTTCCCGGACATGCATGAGAGGGGGGTTGGTGGTGGTGGCTGAGGCTGATGTATCCTAAATTCATGAGAAAGGAGACGTATTGGATTTCACGACAGGGTGGTGCAAAGCTGAGGGGATCTGCAGCTTGTGTGATAGAGGTTGCTTCAAGTTTCTGTGTCTTTGGGTTGCGTGATGGAGAGAGATCCAGCTGCACTGGAAATAAAACTACAGGGGATTTAGTGTCATTGCTGATGCATTTTTTGAATGTAACTTAAATAGCGACAATAAGTCTGAAGGAGATGACATAATCCCACTTGTTTTCAGTGCAGCTGATTTCTTAAAACACATGAATTTAACAACACAGGAGCTCTGTATAAAAAATAGGCTTGAATTCTAGAAAATCCATATTGATTTTAAACGGGAAGCAGGTGAAAGGAGCGGATCTCTTCACGTGATGAGAGAAATATGAGACTGAAAAATGGATTTAATGACTTTTTGAGTTGGATATTTTTTGCAGTGTGCGGTTGATTGATATCGTTGTCGCTGCTCTGATGTAATGAAAGCGAGCTTTGCTGCAGCACTGACCCTGCTACTGCTTTTATATCTTACCAATATACAAATCGATTTCTCCTTTTTAGCCAATATTAATTAATCAGTAAATGTCAGGTCTTCATAAAAAAACAAAACCAAAAAAACAACAACATGAGATTGTGATGACAAGCTTTTAATAAATAAAGATAATATGGGATACATGTTTTTTTATGTTCATAATTCAAAACTCAGTATGGGGAAGGGTATTTTATATAGGCTATTAATCATTGAAATATTATTAGTAATTTATCACACAATAATAATAATAATAATAATAATAATAATAATAATAATAATAATAATAATAATAATAGATTTAAAATAATACTCCTGAAATAATGGTCCCCTTGTATTTCTGCAATGATGCCTTACATAATAACGTCCAAGTGGCTGTATTTGGATAACTTGTTCTTTTAAATCTTAAGTAGATGAAGAACCCTCCAAATTGTCCATTAGCCAATATTAAACAATTGTATCCCGGACGCGGCTCTCCTCTGGTCCTTTGAAGGCGGGATAACCCCAGTCAAGCCCTCTCCAGCGCGCACTGAGATGGGAATGGCCTTTTGGGGCTTTGCCGGTTCAAAGGTAACCAACCTCAATCTGTACTGGCGGACAAAAGTGCGCCGAGGCCACATCGCTGCACCTTCCCCATCTCCTAACTTTGTACATGCTTCCCATCAGAGAGGATGCCTGTGCAGCTCCTATAGCCGCACCACCATAGACGAGCACATCTGTTGTTATAGCAACTGAATAAAGGTTTGGTCCAGCCTGTTGATCCTTTTTTACTCCGCTAACCTGATTTCTCTACATTTCTTGTGCTCGCATTTGCATATTTCTTGATTAAGGCCTGAATATCAGACCTCCTTTCTTACAAAGACACAAAAGCTGTCAGACGCATCTTTTGCAGGCTGTCTCGCTGTTATGGAAATCTGCAGTTATTAATAAATGGAGCAGAAATATGATACGGTTCTGCCAACTGCTGCAGGCATAAAAACAAGAAATAAAAACTGGCTGAGTCATAGTTCAGCTTCTTTTGTTAAAATTGAACTTTATTAGGCTAACTTAACAATAGGACATTTTTTTCTGTCATGTCTTTAAATAGATTCTAATTGTACCAGACCTCCAAAGTGAGACATCTTCCCTACAGCGATGCATTTTTATGCTTAGGCGAGTTTGGGCCTCTATTTTCACTGAATGACTCAATATCCTATAAGCCAAATGCGCATCCACCCATGGGCGTCAGCTGAAGATAGCAGAGCAAAGGCACTGCCATTCCTGACATTGGTTTTATTGCATGAAAAAAGGAAAACTGTATATTAAAAATGTAAGAAATATTATATTAAAAAAAATCCATCAGGGGAGCAGCAGCTGGAGCGGTCTGCGTCTGCGCAGAATAGTTTGGTAATCACCCTCCAATCGGCCCTAATTCTAAAAACTCGTTGGGCTACGTATCTGTATATTAATGGGATGTAAGGTTATTTCGTGCAGTCGGATGGTGTTCAATACAGCGGGGCGTCTGCCGCACCTATAGGCTCTACCCTGCAGCCCGCGGACTGGAACACCCAAGTAGATCTGTCTCCATGGCGACGGCGGGACACCGGTCCAACAAGCTGTAATTCTGTCTCAGCCTTTTGCAGGGGAGGGACCGTCCACACTAGCCCGACTTAACTCCTCTTTCACCAGAAATACTCCTAATCCCATATCTTAGCAAGGCAAACTGCCGTCCCTCAGTATATTAAAGGGACCACAAAGTCAAAACTCAAAGCCACCCATGGTTTCTCAGCGGGCGGCCCGGCCCGGAGCGACCGTCCACCTCCACCGTACGTGTCTCCAATTTTCTCCGCACTTATCCGATGAATAAATCTGTTCATTATCAGGCGATTATTATGTTTTCATTTCGAAAAGCGTGTGAAAAACATTATGACAGAGGACAATATTATTTTCAAATTTATAGGACAGAAAAAACAATTTAAGCAATGGATGGAAATATCTGAAGTTAAATTGTGTGTTAAAATGACTCTATAAATGAATAGTTATTTTGTCCCGTAGTATTGCTATTTTATTATTCTGCATGCCATTATTGTTTATTAGGCCTATTGTCTATTGTCTATTATTGGTAATATGCTTATTAGGAAATTACGTAATATGAAAATAAAGTTAGCAAGTGTGTTTGCTATGTAAAACTAAATTTAAATGGTAAACTTACATTGCTAATTTGTAACTGAAACAGCTAAGGACTTGTTCTCATATTATAGTCTAAAAATACATTTGGTTATGAGTGTTAAAAATATATTTGCATACATTTGTGCAGTCATGGTGATGATTTTTTTTGTGTTTATAGAGAAAACATTAATTAAAAATACAGTATAAACTAAACTAAGATAGCACATTGGACAAATAGTATATACAGCAATGGAAGTCAACCTGATTCTAACTTTGTCTACATAGTTTTAATGCTTACTTGGGCTTAAAACAGGCAACACATCAAATGCACATCCTGGGTTCAGTTAATTTGCTTAAATCTCCCTCAGTAATATTTCATTTCCAATAACTGAAACAGTTGGAAAAGAGTCAAAACAAAGTAGCCGTATAACTGAATAAATTAAACTGTGCTCCTGGCAGATTTTGAAAGCTTAAAATGAACCGTTTGACAGTAACGGCCTTTACACCCAGCTGAAACAAAGTGGTGTTTGGAGGTGTTTTAAATTCAAGTTAAAATTGCCAACATTTGCAAACTATGCATGTATGACAGATTTATTACCACATAGTTAATATTTATATGTTTGGTTAATATTTGTTGTGCAGTAAGGGTATTTTACACAATCTTCAAGAAAGTGTAAAGGAGACTTCTTGAAGAGAAGTCTGTTCTTTTGTTCTGATTCTGAAGTATCTTCCTAGAGCTTAATCAGGGATTTACAGATGCGTACCAAAGCCATACATACTCTTCAATTATTTTTTTCTCTACCTTCATACTGTTCCTATAAAAAAATGTGACTCTTCCTGCTTTTCTGCTTGGATATTTTCTCTTAAACAAGAAACAGATAATTATTGGTTACTGTTCACTTCTCATCATTATTAAAGATAACACTATAAACCTAAAATGTTGGAAAGTTTCAGTCTGCATAAGACGTGGCTGTTATTTTGTAAATCTAGCTGCATGGAGGTCAGATTGAGGTTCTGTTATGATGGAAAGAAGAGGTGTGTGTCTCTGTGTGTGTGTTTAAGAGAGAGAGAAAGAGGGAGAGATGGATGTCAGGATGGACAGGGTGAGAATGCGGCCGGTGGCTCTGATGTGTCTGCACTCTTCTGACACGAATATGTGACATTCCAGTGTAAGACTCCTTCATGTCCTGAGAGAGAGAGAGAGAGAGAGAGAGGGAGAGGGCGAGAGAGAGGTCCACCAACAATGCCCATTGAGTACTGTGAGGCAGCAGCTGGTGGGACGTGCAGTGACCTAAAGGCGATCTATTCAGGCCAGGACGGGGTGCCTCTCACTACCCTGCTGCTTTTATATGCCTGGAAGTGGATGGATGTTCAGTGTTTATCTTTGTAAAGTATTGCAACACAGGTCTGTCATCACGCAAATGGAAGAGAAGTCAGCGCGCACCTTAACAAACCAATCAAGGTTTCTAAAGGGATAAACAGTAAATCAAGGGTGATGGAGATAATGTAAATGTCTGAGGGAAGAACGTCCAATCTAATATCAACGTGATGGAGATAAAATGGAGATGACAGGCAAAGGCCTTTGTTTCTTAGGGAGTGTTGAAGTGAGGCTCAGCCGCACACTGGAGGAGGGGATTAGCTTCTCAAGGAGAAACATAAAGCGTACAGGAAAAAAAAAACCTCAATGCAAGATAATGGATGTGTGATCAGCCAGGCAGAAAGATATTATATTGGATGGAGATTATAGATGCTCAAAATATGAAGTTAGGTATTGCTTGAGCTGTCTGCTGGAAACATTTGTGTGCATGTACGCACTCATGCTTCTAGTGCTCTTTGGTAATTCCACAGGCATTTCCCAGCAGGTTTCAAGCCTGTCTTTGAGATCAAACCTTGTTGGCAAAGTGACCATAAAACGATATGTCAGTCAGCTGTGGTAAAGGGATGCCTGCCTGGCTGTGATTGATCTGCCAAGGCTTCTTTATTCCCCTCGAGACTCGATACCTCCAGGTTTTAGATTCAGCAGTTGCCAGTGTTGATGGATATCTGGGGCTTCTGCTTTAGAATAGTGCTGCATTATTGCCCCCTTTTCTGACCCATTTCCACCCAGTGTGGCACATTGAGCAGCACATGGCCATAACATGGAAGCCAACATGCTGCAATATCTCCTCACTTCCC